GATCATGTCATCGCTATATCCACCGGTCTCTGAGAAAGAAAAGTGAAATTACAGTTTTGACCATGTTAGAAGATGATTTTTTGATAAACCTAAATTAGAAAATGTATATAAAATTGGTTACCCAATTGAGAAAATGTTTTCCTATATTGATGCACCATAAATGTTTGACAACTAATAAAGAAGATAACTAAGAAAACAAATGCAAGATATAAGGCATAAAGATATATGCAAGGAATTGAGTAAACCGGTCAAAATTTAAAAAAAAAATACAATCTGTAAGTTAATTAATTATCATATTACCAAGTAAATACAAATAAATCAACCTAAACAATGAAGACTAACTTTATTTCTCTTACGATTCAAGTTTTCCAGGGCTTGAAACGCCTCTTTAGAACTCCAAATTGATTCCATCGCCTGTAGATACATCTTATATGAAATAAAATTTTGAGAGTGTTACTATTTTTTGCATTTAACCTAGAAAGTTATGTACATAAATCTATTTTAAGAGCATAGTGTTGGAAATTACCTGATTTAGAAATCACCTCATGTAATTTTCATCATTTACTATAATTAACTGATTTGGAAATCACCTCATGTAATTTTCATCCTTTACTATAATTAACTGATAAACTAAAATTTTAAGTAGAACAATCTATTTAAGAGCATAATATTGTAAAAATAACTCAAATTTAGATTCCCAATTTGTCATACATATAGACATATCCAATTTCGCATCCAATTAGTTTGTTTAATAATCTTTTTGATTCATGTGACCTGCATAAACCTAGTTAAGAGCAAAAACCCAAAATGTTGATCTATGGTATAAAACCAATAAAACATAACAGGGAGAGGGAGAGGGAGAGGGAGAGGGAGAGGGGGAGAGAGAGAGAGAGAGAGAAAGAGAGAGATAGAATATAATACCAAAGAGTAATCAGTTAGAAGAAATGGAGTCAGGTCTATTAGCAAGGTGTGTATGTTTGTGTAGAGAAGAGGAGTGTGGATGTGGTAGCGAGGGAAGAACAAAGGTGGATCAAGACTCTGTGGAGCAAGGATGTGACGGGAATACAAAATGCAAGAAACAGTTATACACATTGATAAAGAATAATCAAACAAAAAAAGCATATATTCATGAGATTTACCTTAGTGAGATTATCATAGAAGAAAATGGCCTTTTTAGGGTCGATTGAATGAGTGAGGTCAACGATGCCAGAGTCCAAGCACGTTGGTCGTCGACGCTTAGCCACCGGATGGCGGCAGAGATGGGGGCAGCGGTGATTGCGTTGTCTGTGACGATGATTGCTGGAAGGGTTGGATAGTTAGGTAGGATAGAGAAGAGAGGCAGAGATGGATCGGGGTGGGGTTTGGTCGCCGGAAAATTGCTGTTAGGGCAGAGAGATGGTGGAGACGGTGGGCGTTGTGAGGTTAGAAAATGTATGCTACTTCACTGCTCTTGCGATGATGGTGTGGGAAAAAGAGGAGCATCCGATTAGGGTTTCTGTGTAGATGTTTTTGCACCACTACGTTATGCTTTTTTTATTAATTTAATTAAATATATACGTTATGCGTTATCAGTGTAATGAATAATAGGCATAAAATGATTGTATATGATGTATTAGGTTTTGTACCTCTTAAAATTTTCAAGAAATGTTGAATATGCTTTATATAATAGTAAAGATATATATATATATATATATATATATATATATATATATATATATATATATATATATATATATATATATATATATGGACACACACCATAAACCTATTCAATGGAAAATACTGTTATACTAATACATGTCTTTTATTATGATGTTTCTATAAATATTTTAATGAATATTTAATTATTTGATAAAGTTAGGAGTTAGTTTAAAAGCTTTTTGAACCAAAACTAATTACTTTAATATGTATACTTTTATTCTATATGTTTAGACATGTGTATAACATTTTTAAATAATATCTAATTCTATGATTTAGTTTTTCTTATCGATTATTTGTGAAATATAGATTTGAAACATAGAATTTATATATTATAATCGTCAATAGTATATAATGATCAAAATCGGTTCATATGGTTTTTTAGAAACGATAAACAAGTTCATACTCCATATGTGACAAATTGTTTTTAATTGCTTTCCATCCTTCATTATGACTATAATATGACCCTATTTGACAAATTACCCTATAAATTAGTGTAGCATCCGGAATCCCAGATATATTGTTTAATTATTTATTTTGTGGATTATGGAGCAACTCGATGAGTTGGTGCTACAACTCGTTCAGTAGAGTCGGTTTGTGCCATGTAGGATTAATGATCTACTCGACGAGTTAGAGAGCTGACTCGCTGAGTAGACGCTGTGGAGAGAAACCCTAAATTCCCGGGTTTGGGGCCTATTTAAGGGCACGTACAGCCTCAATTGCAGCTCATCAGCTACTTGCCTTCACTGAGGGAAACCCTAATTGCCCTTTGAGCTAATAGAGAGAGGGTGTGAGTTAATATTGAGTATTTTGGTGCATCTTTGGAAGTATAGAGAAGGATTTCAAGAAAGGAACAAGAGGAGGCTATTAGATCTGTTGTTGTTCATCCAAGAGCTTCTGTAAAAGGTATAAAATTTGTACCTTTCTCATTAGTTTGGGTAGATCTCATATTATTGGAGTTTAGGGCTTCTTTTCTATCTAATATTGGGATTTTGACTGTTTTATGCACATATAGAGATTTGGACATCAGATCTAGACCTTGTGAGGTCCCTAGAGTCCAAAGATCCCTGCTTTATTCAGCCATAATGTAACCTTGAGTGAAAAACCCTTAATAGAGCATGTTTTTGGCGTTTCAAGCCCTAAGTGCCATGCATGAATGTAAAGCTTGTGGCCTTACGTGATAAGCAAGCCTTAAGAGCTTAGATCTAGAGTGTGAGAGGGTTTGCTGCCTTGAAATCATCTGTTTAAGACATGAGTCTGAATGGACTTACTGAGTCGATGAGCCGACTCGACGAGTCAGTTAGGGTTTTGTCCCGATGAGCTGGCTATGCTATAACTCGGCGAGTTAGGGGATAACTCGACGAGCTGGACCTTCACGAAGACTTCTGAGGGACGAGTGGACTTGACAAGTCACATGAGTGCACTCGGCGAGTCAGGTCAAACTTGGAATGACTGACTCGATTTTGAATTCTGTTGACTTTAAGGTTTGGTCAACATGAGTAATGGTGACCATGGAGGGTAAAATGGTCTTTTACCCATTCCAAGAGAAAGAGAGAGCAACCCTTGATGTATTTGAGTATAAATAGAGTATTAATTAGAGATGATTATCCTATGTATAGGCGGATGCTAGTTCGAGATTTCTAAGTACGAGACTTTTACTTACTAGCTTACGAGGTGAGTCTTCTCACTATACTTACCATGAGTGGTATCTTCGTGTGACTGAGATGTCTTATGTGCTTATATATGTATTGTGATACTCTGCATTTTGTCCTTGTGGTTTATGCTTATTGTTATGAACTTATTGAGTTAGGGCCGGAGGGTCCACCCGAGTTGTGGAACCTGAGGGTCTCCACTGGAGCACATTGACTAGAGGTTCGTATTGAGTTAGCCTCGAGTGGCTAATGTGATGTGTGTGGTATTTTGGGGAAACTCACTAAGCTTTGTGCTTACTGTGTTATGTGGTATGTGTTTTAGGTATTTCTAAAGATCACGGGAAGGCGCCGACTTGATTGTACACACATCAGAGATTGAGTTATGATCAAGAGGATCCTGAAGTTTTGATATATGAACAGTTTTTGATATGAGATTTGATGATTTGACATTGTGATATTTTGTGATTTTATTATTGAGACAAATGTGTTTTTAAGTTGAAAGTTTTGGTTTGAAAATTTACGTTGTTACAATTAGTTTTTGATTTTATTACGCCCTGAATGTGTCGAAACCATGTTGGCTGAGGAATGAAGACGTGTTGTCTGGTTTGCTTGAATGGGGTGGGGGGGGGGGTCATATGCCCTAAGTGCGTTGTTCTTGTCTACCCGTTGAATTCATGTGCCGAGTCCGCCTCTCGGCAAGTCAAGTGATTATGAGATCCGAGGAGAGTCGGGAAACCTTGGTGTTCGTCGAAGGCCCGATTTCGAAGGAGGACCATGTGGGTTAGACAAAAAATGGTCTAGAGTTATTGATGCCTCCCTGACAAGCCTAAGTCCATGCGAAAACCGGTTAACATACGTATAAGGGAAGGCCATTCACCGAGATAAACATAATACATGGAGGACCTAAGACGCCGCACGGACATCGATCAATATGTTGAGCTCTCATCCATAACCATGTCACTAGACTCTCGGGATGCTTGACCCTAATCTATTTGCAAGTGCTTCATGCCCATTCCTAGTCCCATTTGACTACTTACTCTTGATTGTAGGCTAATTGAATGCTGAATAGGTTACAAATTTGACCCCATGACATCAAATTAGTTTATCGATAAGGTACCTTATAAGCTACTTTATATACTTCTATTAACTATTTTTACGATTTTACTATAGGTTAAATTTCAATAAGATAACTTATTTTTGCCAAAAGAAAACTTATACATAGTAGTATATTATTGGACCCATGATGGGCTGGATCTGGATGGGCCATCATGAAGTCTCAAATGGGCATAAGGGGATTTCAATATTCAAATAGTCTATTTGGCCCACTTTTGAATTCATCTCACTCAAATGAAAATGAAAGAGAAAAAGAAGACGGGAAGAACATCAACACTGACACCCTGCTCCCGAGTTCAACTTAAAGAGAGAAAAGAAAGGAAATGAGAGGAAAGCAAGAGAGAATAGTGCTCTCGAGTTTCATTAAAAGAAGGAAGTGGAAGAAAATGGAAGGAAAACTTTCCCTCCTGCCTTTCCTCCCGATTTGGGAGGATTTGAAAAAAAAAAACAAAATGTTTATATTTACTTCTATTTCTTTACGGAACAAATCACAATTTCTTTTTCCTTTTTCTTTTCTCTCCTTACTTTTTTTTTTTTTTTTTTTTTCTTCTAATCTTTTCTTTTGCTATAACTCGGGAGGGGTGTGAGGGTATCTGACGATGGCAGCTTCCGCCATGGATGGCGTTGCAGCTACGGCTCTTAGGTCAGTTCTTCATCGCGTCAAACAAGCCGCTGAAAGATCCTCGCGTGTTCCTGATCGGATTAAAGTTGTCGCCGTTAGTAAAACAAAACCCGTTTCACTTCTCCAGGAAGTCTATGACGCCGGGCACCGTTATTTTGGTGAAAACTACGTCCAGGAAATTGTGGAAAAAGCACCTCAGGTTATCATCTTCTTTCAATCTAATTTTAATCCCAGCAATTTCGAAACTGTAAAAATTTAGGGTTTTGATTACTGGACTAGTAATTTACCTTTATTAGGTAATGATGAACATACTAAAGCAAAAAATCTGATTAAATTTGCAGCTCCCTGAAGACATTGAGTGGCACTTTATTGGGAATTTACAGAGCAACAAAGTGAAACCTCTCTTGAGTAAGTGTTATAGGCCTCTTATTTAGGGTTGTAACACAGTAGCAATTAGGAAACATGAATTCATGATGCTCTGAGTAAGATAAAAAAATTACAATTTCTCAATTATTTTTTTGCTCATTTATAGTGGAAGCATGTTTAACGTATTGATCTTGCTATAATTTGATGTGCAGCTGGAGTACCAAATCTGTTCATGGTGGAGACTGTAGATGATGAAAAGGTAATACCAATATTCCTTGTTATACTTAAGAAATTGTATCAACCAGGCTTTTTGAATCAGTGTATGTCATTTTTTCTTCAAATTTTTTTTTTTTTTTCTAGATAGCAAATAATCTTGATCGAGTTATTGGGAACATTGGAAGGAAACCTTTGAAGGTGTTAGTCCAGGTTAATACAAGTGGAGAAACATGTGAGTGAACATGACTTTCTTCCTTCCTTCCAAGACTGAAAGAACTTCACTATCTTTTATTTCATTATTTGTTAAAAGACCAAAATACCCTCATTGCAGCAAAGTTTGGAGTTGACCCAGATGGGTGCTTGGATCTTGTGAAACATGTTACTTCAAAGTGCACAAACCTTGAGTTTTGTGGGTTAATGACAATCGGAATGCCAGATTACACTTCAACTCCAGAGAACTTCAAGGTGAAATCGATTCTAAACACATATCTTTATATTTTTACATATTTTTGTTCTTCACATGTCCTCATAATCAAAGGATTTTTCAGACATTAACAAACTGCAGAAGTGAGGTATGCAATGCCCTTGGAATACCTGAAGAACAATGTGAATTATCAATGGGCATGTCAGGCGACTTTGAGCTAGCTGTAAGTGAAATGTCTAATTCCAGGAATCTAATGAGTATATAATCTTGACACTGTTGAAATTAGTCAAATGCCTAACTTTTTAAAAAACCAGCTTATAATATAATATTTTGTCATCTATGTAGATTGAAATGGGAAGTACAAATGTGAGAATCGGATCGACCATTTTTGGAGCAAGGGAATACCCTAAAAAGCAATGAGCGAAATCATTTCGTGTTTAAATAAACCATTGATTCAACCTTCAAAGAGTTATTTATATGGACTTGAAACCACAAATTGTTGTGTTATTTGAAACAATTGGGTTTTCATTGTATTGATATCAAATGGGTAAAGTTGGGACTGTAGACAAACATGAAATGGGTTTAAAATGGGTCAAGCAAGTTTGAAGGTCATTTAAAGTGTACTGTGATGTGTGCATTTTTCTTGATCTTGTAATTCAAATAACTTAAATTCACAATTTGATTTTCGATAATGACCAACTAGCACAATAGGTTGCTATATTTTGATGTGTTTCTAGATGGGTTAATGCTTCACATTTCATGTTGTCATGACTCACCAGATGCCTGAGAAATTGCACCTTTTGTGGCTAGTATTAAACATATAGATAGCTTGGTGTACAACACCTATGCTTCAAAACTTCATGAGACAAGTGTTAAGCATGCTTGGACTCATTCTTGGAATAAATACTTAGCCACTTAATCACATCAAAAAGCTTACAATGTCCATAACTTGTTATAAACAAGGAGTTAGCTAAATAAACACCCTTATTTACTAAAATAGATAATGACTTGAAAGGGTAAATCAACTATATCTTTTGTATATATTTGGTCACTTAACTTTTTTTGGTTGATTATTAACCATTGAACTTTTTTTTTTTTTTTTTTTTTTTTTTTTAAACATACTTAGTATTACCTACAATAGCAGGTAAAACCTATTTTGGGGGGTTTAGTTCCACCTCCGGCGGCTTTTCCGGTGGATGGAAGCTCCAACGACATCTTCGGTTATCTTCTCCGGCGACATTTCCGTTTTTTTGTTTCAATCTTCTCCATTGTTAAATCACATAAAAATAATTTCAAAAAATGTTTCTTAAATCTTGTTTCTTCTCTTTCGTAGCATGTATGGCCTGTTCAGATCCCATATCAGATTCATCACATTTGTTTACGTAGAAACTGTTAAACTCGTACTTGTGAAAGGAGACTCACATTTCGTATGCTACATTAGTGTGTTTGTAAAACCCTACAAAGAAAAAGGTAAAGTTCCTGATAAGTTCAAAAAGCAACAACAATAACTAATCGATTGTAGTGAGTTTTCCCTAATTAGGTTTGATTAACACGACCATTTCGATCTTCAGATTGGTACACTCGTTTAAAAATCCGAATCTTCGTCTTTAAAAATGGTAAATCTGTTAGTAAGTGTTGAGTTTTTGTTTGAATCAGAAGTGATAATATTGTACAACAGTCAAGATCTGCTATGGCGGAAAAAACTTGAAAAACAGGCGGATCATCAACATGCAATCGAAACCCTAACTCGAATTTGGAAAATCTTTCACAAACCGAAACTCGAACATCAAGAAACCCTAAACAATTTCAAAACCATTTGAATCTGGAGATTACTAATTTTTGCATAACGATGATGTGTACGTTGGATGTGTTTCAAATGATAAAGAGCGAAGATAGAGAGAATCTAGGTTTAAGTTCTTGGGTTCTTTATCTTCCTCTTCAAGATTCGAAATTTCACACACAAACAGCAAGAACACACAGTTGGGTGTTTTTTGTGAGTTCTTTTCCTGAATTTTTGGGTTCGATTCCTTCAATAAAACTCAGATTAAAAATGTAGCCGGAGGTAAAGAAAACCGGAAATGTCGTCGGAGCTTACTTCCGCCAGAAAAGCCGTCGGAGGTGGAATTGGAACCCCAAAATAAGTTTACATGCTATTGCAGGTAATAGTGATATTTTTTAAACAAAAAAAAACAAGTTTAAGGGTTAAATATGCATCAAAAAAAGTTAAGTGACCAAATATATAGAAAGATTATAGTTTGTTACCCTTTCATGTCATTATCCCTTACTAAAAAACATTCTATACTAAAAAAACAACCTAATCATTTTTAATATTAATCAAATGTAATTATTACATAATGATTAAAAAAAAGTTTTTTAATCAAGTTTTATAATGATAACTTATTATTACTTTACATATAATTCATTAATATAAAATTAATAATTAATTATTTATTTTAGTTAATATAGATTTTATATATATATATATATATATATATATATATATATATATATATATATTAGTTAGATTTTATAGATTTCATTTATTTTAGTTAATATATATATATATATATATATATATATATATATATATATATATATATTAGTTAATATAATATAGATTTTAGTTAATATATATATATATATATATATATATATATATATATATATATATATATATATATATATATATATATATATATATATTGTTGGGCTTTGTAGATTGCGTCTTTTGGGCTCGACTGATTATGCTATTTTGTATTCCGGTTTGGGCCTGTCCAACCGTGAACCTTTTATGTATTGTATATAAATTTACGCTTGCATGCATATTAGGTCAAGGTTTTAGAGATCTGAGAATAACAATACCTCTAGACGACAACAGGTTTCTTTGATCGTTCTTGTAACCTTCCAATCCTCTACAGTTGATGTTCTTAATCGAGCTCTTCTGAGGATTTTGTTTAATCATTTGACACGTTTGATTCCATCTTGTCTTGTTCTTATTATTTTGTTTATATCGTCTTTGTTTACTTACTTGTTCAAGATCTAATCGATCTTTATAGATTAAAGGTTGTTTAATCTCATCAATTGGTATCAGAGCAGGAGGCTGTGTAATTGATACACATCTTTTCTGTGAAAAAGATTTCCATTAGGGTTTTTCCGCAATCATCAATATTTATTGAGCCGTCATCTCTTTATTGACGTATCTTGATATTTATTATTTTGCCCTAATCTGCTTTATTACAAGTCTGATCTTTGAACAGGTTTTTACGATCATAATGGACGCGACACAATCAAACCTTATTAATATTTCCAACAACATTGGTTCGACGACAAAGATTCCGATCTTATACACCCATGACTATGAAGTATGGGCACATCACTTCGAAGACTACGTTATTGGATCGGAGGAGAATGGGTATCTCATTTGGGAAGCCATCACCAATGGACCGTTTTCTCATTCTGCAACGTCCAGAATCATCAAGACTCAAAAAGAATACAATGATCTGCTAAAGGACGTGAAAGATATTGCACAAGATGAAAAGGATAAGTTCCAGTGCAATATCAAGGCATTAAGATTGATCAGGTTCGCCCTTCAGTCCGATACATTCAGATTGGTTAGTTCATGCACGACGGCAAAGGATGTTTGGGATAGACTTCGCGAACTGTATTCTACAGACGAGGATCTTGAACATTCTATTCAAACTTTGCTTCTATCCGAGTTTGGAGAATTCAGGCAAGGGGTTGAAGAAACTGTGACCCAGACGTTCGATCGCTTCAATCATCTTCTTAGCAAGATGATCAAACACGATATTGAAAGGAAGCTTATTAAACAGAAGGTTACTTTCCTGAATGGTCTGAGGTCTGAATGGAGAGCAGTAGTTTCCACAGTTAAAGCCCATGAGCAGTTTAAATCCTACTCTTTGGTGAAACTGGTGGGTATTCTCAAGTCTCAAGAGAAGATTGTGGTGCAAGAAAAGAATGTTGCTACTAGTCTCGGTTCGTTGGCCCTCCTGTCTAAAAGTAAAAATGTGATGGAGGATGAAGACCTCAACCTGGAGGAATATGATCTCACATCAGAGGATTATGCCATGATGGTGTCCAATCCCAAAAGGTTCATAAAGAAGAGATTCCCCAGCAACAAAAACCGAAACTGGCAGGGGAGTTACAGCTCTGAAGAGGTGATTAATGAACCGAAAGCTGAGGAGCACAAGAAGGAACCGAAGGTGGATGGTGACTCCGGAGTAAGCTGTTTCTATTGTGGTGGGAAAAATCATTATGCTAAGGACTGTGTCCTTAAGAAAATGGCTGAAAAAGATGATGGGAATGACGAGGAAGCCGTGTTGCAGAAAAGACTAGACGAGTTGAGAAAGAAGAAGTCTACTGCTAACCCGCCTATTAATGCTCTTATTGTGCAGGGTTCTGTTCAAGGTGATGAGTTCGGTAGTACGGAAGTTTGGTCTATCGACTCAGAAGACGAGGAAGTGAGGCAGCCTACTCATGGAAAGGCCTACGTGTCTAAGGAAAAAAGCAGTGGTGGAAGATGCTTTATAGTTACTGACGTATCTCAAATGAGGGGATACAACACCGATGGAGGAAGTGATGGACCGAAGACAAAGGAGGACATGTGCTTTACGGCCAAACCGCTCAGCCAGCAGTTCAATGAGCTCGATGAACTGATAAAGAAGGTACAATCTGTTTTTATTTCATGCAAAGTACCATCATCCTCTTATGAGAAAGAACTAAAAAACGTCAATACAAGAATTTCTCATCTAGATAGTAGCTTAACTCGAACTCAGGTCACAAATTCTAACCTAACTGATCAATTGAGCAGGGCGGCGTCGAAGAGTGAGGAGCGGAGAATGTGGATAAAGTTAAAGGAGTCGGAATTAGTCAAAGTTAAAGACGAAAACATTTATTTGCAAAGAGACAATTTAAAATTGTTAAAACAACGAAATGTTTTTTGTTTAATTGCTAAACGTCTGTATTCTAATATTACTCAGCTTCACTTGGATTGTGAAATAGGCCAAAAGATTCACCGCATGATTTTGCCCTTCCTAGAGTTTAAGGAAGATGAAATCGATGCCGAAGCCTATAATTGTGAGAGTGTGATATCATCTGATGATGTCAATCCGACCTACATGTATGGACTGGACAAAATTGAGTCCTTCATTAAATCCAAAGACCACAAGGACATGCTTAAAAATCTTTTGGATGAAAATGACAGACTTAAACTGAGAACCGAAACCATGCAAAAATTTGACTCTTTAAACGCCAACGTAAGCTCAGAAAACAAAATTGATGTTGAAAATGCATCTGAGCTTAACGAGCCGATAACATGAGCGAAATTTCTGTAGAGGACACGGTTGACTGCTCAGAATTTATTAAAACCGAACCTGAAAACCACAAGAATCTAATTTCTGAAAACTCAGTGGAGTTCGCTCGGTTGTCCCATCAAAAGTCCCCAAAATTAGTTGAGAAAGCTGTTGTGTATCAAAAAGTCAGGACCACTCCGAATCAAGTTTACAAGGTGACAGGAGTAACCGAACATCAAACAGCTGAACTTGTAGCCATCGTAAACGAAGACAATGCTGATGGCTGCGATGAGTACTTCTGGGAAGCTCCATTTGATAATGCAGACGAAACCATTGGCTTATCTGAAAGAACTTCCTGGAAGAGCAAAGGAAGATACATACCTGAACCCTTAAATAAGCCGAACAACTTCGATGAGCCGAGCACCAGTGGTACAAAAGATATCCCTCAGAAGGATGATCACTCGGCAAAAGAAGACATTCCCTCGGCTCCTTCAGCTCAAAATAAAACTCATGCAGTTCAAAAAGAACCAGCCAAGGAGACACCGAAAAAGAAAGCAAATGTTCATCATCAACCTTCTCAGATGAGGAATAGGAAAATAGAAAGGAACAATAGATACAGGAAGAACCTTTCTGAAAGGAAACAATTCTGGCATTCCCAGAATGCATATTTCTCTCATCAAGACAAGAATCTGAAGCATGAAAACAATCCTGTAGGAAAGCCTGAAAGTCACAAAAACC